TCAAAAGATCTGGGTCTAAAATCCAGTGTTTGCTGTGTAACCTTAGTTAAGTCACTTAACCTCTCTGGGCCTCAGTTAACCTATGTATAAAATAGATGAGCTTCCTGTTCTAGTCTTACAGAAACAACCTCTGAGTTTCTGAGGAATGTCGCCCTTCCCTCAGCCCTTGTCCCCCACCCTGAGCTGGGATCTTCCTGAGCTCACAGCTGTTACCCCCAGAAGAGCAAGGGAACAGGGTATGGGGGAGTGGGAGCTGCGGGTAGGAGGGAGGGGCAGCAGGCAGCTCATCCCCTCAGAGTCCTCTTCTGTCCTGAGAGAAGGAGGACTTGGGTCCGAGCAGGAATCCAGGACAGGTGGCTTCCCAGCTGCACTAGGCTGGGAACACGCTTTGAAATTCCTGACACTCCAGGCAACCCCTTCCCCAAATATTTTTTCAGCCTGCCCAGGAGGGGCAGGCTAATCAAAGGAGTATTTCCCTCTGCCACTCCCAGGCACAGGGAAGGTCTGTCCTTACAGTCATGTCGCCCTGCGGTGGGGCAAGGTCACACTCGCGTGGACATGGCTGGACTCCGGCTAACCCTCTAACCCAGCGAGCTGGGCTCACACCCCATGAAACCATCTCCCTGAGGGGTCTCCCCCATCAGCCCCCAAATGCTGTGCAGCCAAGCTTTCTCTGGGGAGGGGAGTGGTGAGGGGTCTGGGGAGTCGCAGGAACTCTGGGCATCTGCCTGAGCTTGGAGGGCTGCTCCAGCGGTCCCTGCCCACCTCTGGACAGGGGGCCTTCCTCGGCGCCCCCAGGACAGTCTCTGAATCCCTGGAGATGTGAATTTGACCACAAGGGCTGTTCTGACTGATGTGACCTCAGTCTCACTCTGTTCTCAGAGGATCAGGGACAGTCTGCCTGGAAAGTTTCAGGGGCCCCTTGGCCCGGAGGGGAGGGGAGGGACAGGGCAGTGTTGGGGAATCCCTGTTGGCTAGAGCACTGCTTTTAGAGCAGGTAGAGGTCTAGCAATTAGCTAGCCCATCCCACCAATGAGGAAACTGGGGCCCAGGGAGGGGACATTCTTCCGCAAGACTCCATCTCTACACCGTCTTTAGTGGCAGACCCAGGATTCAAGGCCATGCCTCTAGTTTCCAACACAGGGTGCGCCTTGGGGTCCCGTCTCCTTAAGTGCTCCCCACTCAAGGGAACGTGGCCCTCTCTCAACCTCCACATGCACACAGAGTGGACGCAGGCGTCTTCTGGGTTAGGTGCCAGGCCGCGGGACATCTTCCCTTCCCTCCCTGCTCTCTGGTCTGCCCCAGTCTTACCTCAGAACAGGAGCGGCCGGCAGAACCCGAAGCGGTGCTCAGCCTCAGCAGGGACTGGGGGAGGCAGGGGACGGAGAGGGCTTTTAGCAGGCCTGTGGGCTGGGCCTTGTGAGCTGAGCCCCGTGGTGGGAGGGGTGTGTGGCAGGAGCCACGGCAGGGGAGTGGGGGGTGTTGGCTGCTATTTTGGCAGGTGCCAGGGACAAGACTAAAGGAACATGTCCCCCACGCCATATAAGCCCATGTGGTCGTCCAGCTGCTCAGATTAGCTATTTAAAACCAGAACAGATACGCAGGGAACAGAGGGAGCAGGCCTGTGACATAAACCAGCTGTCCCTCTTGAGAACCTTGATAAAGCAGATGCCAGCAGCCCAGGCCTGGGAAGGCAGGCCAGGACCACAGACGGGGGGCAGAAGACAACTTCAAAGACACGTCATGAGTCCCTGGGCCTGGGGTCTGGAGAGCGGAGGTGCGGGCTCAGCAGCAGCTCAGCTTGCAATGCTGCTGTGGGTGACGATGTCTTACAGCCTCCCGGCCGCTTCCCGTGGGCTGAGAGGCCGTGGGCAGGACGCGGGCTCTGCAGGCCTCAGGGAGGTGGCTCTTCTGCCTGACCCCCAGAGCCAGGTGACAAGCCGTCCTCACCAGCAAGGGACCAAAGCAGCGACAGGAGGTCAGACACAAGGTAGAGCTTCCAGCCAGGCCAGGAGTGACAGTCCTCCTGGGGCAGGCCGCTGGGTTGTGTGAGGGGCCGTGAGACCTGTGGGAGTTCCTTTCTCTAGGCTTTAAAATTAAAAAATTAAAGCTAAACGTACTGGGTTGTAGGATCCATAAGGCCAGAGCCCAGGGATTCTTGTTGTTTGCAGGCGTGTGTATGTCCACAGCCCCCACGTATAGGGCCTGGGATGTTGTAGGACTCCGTACGTGATGAAAACGAAAAGACAGCAGGCCTGAGGGTGGCTGAGCTGACTCCCCCACTTCATCTCTCTGAAACTCCTGGCCTGTGTCCCGCCAAATTCTGAAGGGACGCCCCTCCTCTGAGCCAGGCCCACTCCTCCGCACATGCCCTGAGGCCTGAGCCCCTGGCCCTACAGACGTTGCCCATCAGTGAGTCACCCTGTTCCTCTGTGGGCAGTCAGTCCCACCCACACTCCGCCTCCTTCTCCCCTGCTGGCCAGGAGGGCCCCCTTCCCAGCCCTCAGACTCTCCTCTCAGTCCTGCCACCGTGGGAGCAAGTATGCCGCACCCACTGCCAACATCCTTGAAGGAATCCTCTGCGCAGGTCTCCCCTCGCCCCTTGCCCCTCACCCCTCGCCCACTCTGCTGTCTGACTCTTGCCCCATCAGCTCAGCTGACACTGTCCCCTCCGTGGTCCCCAGTGCCCATGAGGCCATTGGCCTGATTCCCCAGCTCCAGGCTTATGCCCGGCCATGTGGTCCTCCACGTTGCCAGGAGATCAGAGGCCGGGTAAGCTGAAGCCACGTGCTTACCAGCCAGCATCCCGGGGAGAGGGAGCCTGCAGGGCAGTGGAGAGGCAGAGAGGCACGTGTAGGGAGCAGATTCACAGAGGAACTCTGGGCAACCAGACTGTCCACAGGGAGGCAGAGAAAGCATCATTATATGCTGTTCCTGCCCTAGTCTGGCAGAACTCAGGGTCAGGGGTTTGCTTTGAGTCCTGGGGCCTGAAATCTCCTGGAATGTAGGAATTGCTTACCCTAAACCCTCCCTTGAGCTACTTTCAGTAGATTACTGTCCCTGGTAAGCCAAATAATCCTTCAGTAATTTGTTTGCTTGGATGCCTGGAAGAGAGATCTGGGCACAAGATCCCCAATGCCCCACAGGAAAATTCCAATAAGTTGTTGGCATCCACGGACTAAATGTACCAGTATTTTACTAACTGTTCTAAAGGCAGGGATGTAAATAGGAGAGCTGGGAGGCAGTCACCTAGCTTGTGAGAAAGTCTAGCCACTCCCCAGCAGCCACACTTAGGCACGGTTACGCCTGATCTGTCAGTTGGTGCCCCTGTCCTTGCAAATAGCTATAAAGTCACCTCCTAGAGCTAATTGTAGAAGGAGAAATCAAAGGGGTGGTGTTACTAAAGAATTTTACTGGAAGAAGCATATATGGTGCTTGCAAATTCAAGGGCACGAGAGGACAGGTCACTTGCAAGGTCTCAAGGCCACCCGGGCAGGAAAGCAGGCAGGCAGAGCAAGCAGCAGTTGGTGGGAGGGTAGGGGAACCTGCTGTCTCCAGGGGGGCTCACTGTCCTCCTCCAGGAGAAGTCCTCTACCCTCCTGGCCACCAGTCACCACCATTATGCAAGCCTTTGTCCGCACACCAGTCACCAGTTGAAATCATTTTGTGCACGCACTCACCTCATTATTGGCTGCAACCCAAATAGGATTAAGTGCAGGTCCCTCGTGTGGGGGGTACGTGAATGCAAGGGAGGAATCAGAGGGTCATGCCTCCCAGTACTCTGCCCAACAGTCTGCCCTTGATGGGCATCCCAAGGAAGGTGTGCTGGCATGAAGGGCTCCACTCCAGGGGCAGCAGCTGCCAGGGAACCCAGAAACCCAGGACCACGCCAGCCCCTGCAGTCCCCAGTCAGGCCTCCACCTGGAGGAAGGCTTCTGGGAGCCTCTCCTAAGAAAAGGCCATGTGAGGACAGTTATACCACTAGGCAAATTCACCCTCACCCCTCGCCCTCCGTGGCCCCCAGTGCCCCGAAGTTCAGAACACGGGCATCCAAAACCCGTCAGGCCCTCATTTGAACCCTGAGCTCCAGGTGGGGCCGGAGCAGCTTGGTCCTCGGAGTCTCCAGGCAGCACTCACCCCACTCCTCACCCCTGCCCCTGGCTTTGACCCCAAACTCTGGAGCTGGGAAATTTGCAAACGCTCTAGGCCTGGTCGTGAGGGGCCCCAACACCCCTAGTTCGGTGCAGGTACCAGTGGCAGCCACAGGAGACGCACCAGCTGGAGGTGGGCAGCCTGGGGTGACCGGGAGGTTGGCAGCGGGGCAGGCCCTCGGCCCCAGATCTAGGACGAAAGCCAAGGTCACTCATAGCCACAAAGGCCACAACAAGGTTGGCTGTCCTTGGCTGGCAGCTTGTGCCCTACAAGCTTGGGGAGCTGAGGCCTGGCGACACCCTAAAAGGCTATGTTCTGAGTCCCGGGGCATGCTGCCTGGGGGCAGGGGACAAAGGAGGAACCGACCAAGCTCTGCATTTATTCTCCCCACCTGCACCCTCCAGTTGGTTCCGGGTAAATCCCAGAGCAGCAATTAGGAAGGTAAACTCCAGTTAGGAATACACATCTATGGGTTTTTTTTATAACAGGCCACCACTGACTTTCATAGTTCGGTTTTTCCTAGATTCTCAGATGGCTCGGCATTCTCCAAAGTCACACGGGCCAGGATGTCGGGGGAATGGGAGACTGCATTCGGGGAGAATGCGTGTTAGGTAGGGGTGGTGTGGCAGCAGACCTGGCACTACATGCAGCATTTCTGCACCCTACCAAGTCACTCTGCTAGGATAAGAGGGTAGCAACCCAGGACGACATGAGGAAGAGAAAGGACTGCTGGGAAAATGCCGCCTGGCCCCTCCTCCCAGCCAGACCAGTCTTCCTCACACACCACTGGTCCCAGCAAAAAAGCAAAGCCTCCAGAAAGGAATCAATTTTTAAGGTATTATCAGTCATTTACACCTGAGAGTGAACGAGTTTATTAGGCATTTCCTGAGAACAGGTTTTCTAGGGAGAGGGTGAGGGGGCACAAAAAGGCACGGAGCTCCTAGACAGAGCAGGGGGCCGGGGGTTTGAGGGGCACAAAGCAGGGAGATGAGGCGCAGGGAAGACCAAGCTCCTCCCGATCTGGCTGATTTGGGCCTCGGCAAGCTGCCGGCAGGCCCCAGGGACCACGGTGGATAAAGCCAGGCCTCCGTGAGGCAGAGACGTCACAGGCACGTGGAGGTGCTTGCTGGGAGCTCAGACAGGTGACCCTGGGGTTCTTGAGACGGCACTGCCCTGGCCCTGGAAGTGAGCAGGAAGTAGGCACCGTCTCCGGACAGGCCGTGCAGGCCCCAGAGTGCTGGTGACAGCCGGCACGGTGCCCTGAGGTGACGCTGGGGCCCAGGACCTGCTGCGGCTGCGGTGGGACAAGGAGGCGCCAGGCACACCGCTGGGAAGCTGCTGGCTGAGTCTGCCCGGCATTCCTTCCGTCTCAGGTCCAGAGGCAGAAAGGGAGCAGGTGGCATGAGGAGGGGAGGACCCTTGAGACGCAGATGGGCAGGTGGGCCTCAGCAGGGCTGGTCACACCTGCGGGCAAAGGTCTCTCAGGACAAGGGAAGGGCGTCCCTTTGAAGGAAGGGCCGGCCCTGGACAGGAACACCAACACAGCACCAGAGGTCCCACATCTGCTGGCTGGAGGGGGTGGGGACTCGGCATGGTGCTGGGGAAAGCACGGCCAGTGGAGGGGTTCGGCGAACAGTCTCCAGGTCGGGTCAAACCAGCCCGGAGGCAGGTCTGGGGCAATCTGGGTACGCAGACTGTGCGGCTGCAGGCCACTCAGAGGGCCCGTGGGCGTAGGGTGTGGCAACTCCCAGCCCAGCCCCTGCCCGCTCCTCTCACCTCAGCCTCCAGGGAGGAGACCGCTTTCCTTCCCCACTGGGTCCTCTTGGCGGCCGCTGACTCTTTCTGCACCTCCTGAGAGGGGGCATCAGGGTGGAGATGGGGGCTCAGCACACCAGGAAGGGCTCGGATCTCCAGGCCCCTCCTCTCCATGAGAGGGAGGAGCCGACACCTCCTCTCTGCTGCTGACCAGATGCAGTTTATCATAGCCCTCCCCGCCTGCAGAGGATGGCCCCTGCTCAACCCTCCGCTGACCCAGGTCATCCCACCAGAAAAGTCCACAGTCAGAGGCCTCAGGAAGGAGCAAGGTACCTGGGGGTCCTGAGCTCCTGGCTCCTGGGTCTTGCTGATCCACAGGTTGAGCCTTGATGTCACAACCCCTGAAAGCTTCAAGTTCTCCTGAAAAGAGAAGCTTCCATCTCAGGGCCGGGGCCACAGGCGACAGCATGGCACTTCTAGAGGCCATGGCACAGGATGGGACCCGACACCGTTCCCGTATCCATCCAGTACGTCCCCCAGGGAGTGACGTGCACAGCCCAGGAGACTTGGCCTCAGGAATGGTGACTCAAGTCAACAGCAGGTCCTGTCCAAACTGACACGTGACAATACAGAGCTTTCCAGCACTGCCCGGGCCAGGGTTCTGGGTTTGGAGGCCTCAGGCCTAAGCGGCCCGAAGATGCGCGGCTGGGCCCGAGCCTCTCACCTTCCTGCCAGAGGCTGGTTCTGCTTGGCTCCGGCCCACCACCTCCTTCTCAAAGAGGTGCCGCTTGCTGGCAACACCCGCGGGAGCCACAAAGAACTCGGTGCGGGAAGAGCCTGGGGACTTGACAGATTCCGATCTCTGGGAACAAAGCACACAGACCACGGGCTCTCAAGGGTGAGGGGCACAGGTCATGCCCACCACCCAGGTCAGCTGCCATCTGCTCCCTGCAAGAGCCAGCCCACCTGCACAGCAGTGTGGTATCTCTCCAGCTTCTCACCCAGCCGGGCTGTGCTGACCGGAAGCCTCACGCTGGCACTGCAAGGTGACAGGGCGATGCAGGCCAGGTGAAGTCCCTCCCCCGGAGATGCCAGGCCTGCCCCCCAAGCCTGAGGAACAGTAGCCCTCCACCCCACCATGTTGGCAAAGAGAATGTGACCTCCATCACTGAGTGACACTAGAATGACTTGGCCAAGGTGAAAATCTACAGACTCCACGGATGTTCCCTACCTCCCTAGAAACATCTCATCCAGGAAAACATCCTCAGTATCAGAAATACCTGCCATTTCTCCCCAGTCCTGTGCTTGCAGCTCAGAACATCTCTGGAACCTTCTTCCTCTCCATCCTGCCTACCTTCTACCCCCTCCCCCTGCCGGCGGCCCCAGACAGCACAGCTCCAAGGCTGTGGTGATCTGGTCCCTGCCCCACTCCTGACACCAGTGTGCCCCCGAGCCCCTTTCCCCACGTGCTCACGTGCCAGCCAACCGGACACCCCAGGCTTTTCATACTCTGTGCCTTTCCACATGCTATGCCCTCTATTTAAAATGCATTCCTTTGATTTCCCATCTGTAAATGCGAGTTCCTCAAGCCCCACTCAGACACCCATTGTTCTGTGACGTTGTCTGGCTCCGGCAGGCTGAGCTGTTACAGGCGCTCAGGAGCCCCCAGCCCCTTGTCTCCCTACCCCGGCACCTCCAGGCTGGGAGGTTCTTAAACGTCAATGGTCGAATGTGAGCTGCTTGAGAGTGGGAACTGCGCTTATTCATCTCTGTAGGCCCCGCCCGCACCCGCGCCCCCAGTCCCAGCCCAGGACAGCAGCCCAGGCGTTAGGGGCAGACGGGTGCAGAGTGAGCGCATGAAACCCCGAACACAGAAGCACAGATGCTTTTTGGATCCTCTTTCTGGTTTGTTTGTTTGTTTTTCAAATGGAAGCCCTCCTCCCCCTCCACACCCCTCTGCACCAAGGCTACACCCTCCTCTACCTTCCGAGCCCATGGACGCCCTCCTCCTCCGAGCAGCCCTCCTGGGTCTCTTCCCTCCCTGCTCCATCTCATCGGGCCTCTGTCCCTCATGTTAACCCAGTCTCCCTGCAGGAGCTGGAGCCTTCCCCTCACGTGTCCTATGGCACCACATGGCTCGAGGACAGGTGGCGAGTGCTTAGCAAACATAGGCTGAACGTGAGCAGATGCGAGACAGCCAGAGCCTGCAGGCCCCTGACCTGCGGGTTAAGGTTGTTTCTGTGTTCTCCTTCCTGGGGCTCATCTGAAATGAGAAGGTGAGGCATGGATGAGTGGGGGTCCCAGGGGGCCCACAGCTTCCTTGGGGGCAGGCTCAGCCCTCAGAATACTCCCTCCCCCTCCTCAGACCCCCGCGCTTCTCCACTGCTGGACCCAGACCAGCCCTCCGCTAAAGGCCCTTTTCTTGCCTGGGACATACCACCTCCACCCACCAGGCCGGGTCAGAGCTGATGCTTGAACCCCACCTCTTCTAGGGGTGCCTGCAACCCCATCTTCCTGTCCGCCTCCTCATTGCCCATGAGCCCCAGGGCACAGGGACAGGCACTGGTCAACCAGGCCCCAGTGTCCTCCCTGGGGTCTGGCACCCATCAGGGGCACAAAGTCAGCACAAAGTGATTCAACAACCCAGTGAACAGAGGAACTACAGAGTAAATACAGGATAAGGGAGACGAGAGTCCCCCGTCCACACGGTTTGTCCTCTCAGAGCAAAGGCTGCCCAGCCAGGAGGGCACAGACGCACAGGTGCAGGGTGCCTGCTCTGGGCCACATTCCTGCAGCTCCGGCCTTCCCCAGTAGGTGGGGCTGCTCAGGCTCACGCACACCCACCCTCTAGGTCACTAGCCTGCTCTCCTTCATCGGATCAGCTTCCTCTGATCCTGGCCACCCATGCAAGTCCAAAGGCCCTCTCCACCCACAGCATCCTCCTGACATCTAACCTAGGCCCTGTGCTGTAATGCCGGCTGGCATCCCGGACTTGCCCTCCGCTGGGCTGGAGACAAAGGTGCTCTGGGCCCTCACCCGAAAGGAGATGGTCCTGGAGCTGGAGCGTTTGAGGGAGCTGCTGTAGGTGGCCTGGGTGGGTGAGGAGGCGTCCACCCCTTCCTCCCTGCTGGGGATTTTCACCTGGAGGCAGTGGGGATGTCACACAGGAGGTCTGGGCAGCCCGGAGCCCAAGCTGCCACGGGGACCCCATGTGGCCTGGCTCAGCCCATGAACTGCAGGAGGGGGCGCATAAGCCAGTCCTCCCTCTGCTGCCTCCTGCCCTGCCACCCCTGCTGTAGGCGTCGGGGATGCAGTGCCGCAGTGCCAGGCCACCGGGCAGAGCTTCCCCAGGGAACTTGTGGCAGGAGTCAAGGCTTCCCAAGCAATTGCTGGTGTCCTGACGTCCAGGCTCTGGATGAAGAAGTGCCACAGGCTGCCAGGTGCTCCCCAGCACACAGCTGATGCCCCTCAGCTGCCAGCAGCCTGCCCTTGACTCAGTGTCCCCTAGTCTGACGGTGGCTGGAAGCAGGTTGAGAAAGAAGAAAATAGCAAAGCCAGCCTGAAGGGTGGAGGCCAGGAGACAGCAAGGGAGCCAGGGACCCCCTCGGGAGGACTGGGGGCAGCTAGGGAGGATGGGAGGGGCAGGGGCACACCCACCTGGAGTGTGATGGGTGGGAGGTGGGCAGCCACAGGCAGAGGGCCTGACGCCCCCTGTCCTGCCAAGGACAGAGGGTTCTTCTCCGGGAGGGCCCTTCCTCTCTGCTCACTGGAGGCAGACCGGCTTCCCCAAAAGGCTGGCTGCTCCTGGGCAGGGCGCCCCGAGGCTGCTGCCCGCTTTGAAACCAGTGGCTTCTCAAAGAGCAGTGCTTTCTCGGATACCAGTCTCCCTTCCAAGCCTGATGTCTTCCCCGGCAGCTTCTCTGACACACTCATTTTCTCCAGAATTGACTTTTTCTCCACAATGGCTCTTTTCTCTAACACCGCTGTCTTCTCCAGCACAGATGTCTGCTCAGGAGGGCCCACCGTCTCCTCAGGGGTGGAGGTTTCCCCTGACATCAGTCTCTTTCCAAGTGCTGAAGTCTTCTCTGGACTGGGGGACTTCTCTAAGACCAGGGTCTTCTCTGAGACCCCCTTCTCCCCACCCGCCGGCTCACTGCCCGCCGCACTCTCCTCCCCCCCGGCCCAGCGGCCCCGCTGCTCCCAGCTGAGTCTCCGGTGAGGGGGCAGCTCCACCTCTTTCTTGGGCGTGAGGGGCTGCTTCTTGGCCTGCCCAGGGTCTGTGCTGTCCCTCCCTGGCTCTGCCTCCAGCCTCTCCCAGACAGGGGCCTGTGCAGCCTCCACCATCTGCCGCCTCTGCCTCCGCTCCTGCCGCGTCCTGAGGATGCCCGGGATGTCCTCATCCTCATTTTTGCAGGCTTGGGGCGGTAGCCTGGGCCCCTCTGCTTCCTCCACGCTGGGCAGTCTGAGCCAGTAGATGGGAGGTGGGGTGGGAGACAGAATCAGAGAATGTCAGAGGTGGGCAAGACCCCGGGGTGTACGCGCCCCAGTGGCTGTCCCCAGGGCCCCCAGGGAGGGGTCAGGAAGTAGAGCTCTGGCCTCCCTATCACCTCAGTATAGATTCCTTTCATCTGCTTTACATGTTGGGCATCCAAGATATCATTTGAACCAAGTACACCATGCTTTTAAAGGTTATAAATCTCTGTAAGGCCCTACCATGCCATGTTCAGAACCAATCCACAACACCTGATTAAACAATTCCTTTATATGTACCAGGCCCTGTGCTGGAAGGTCGAAAGCAATAAATACAGTCCCTGCCCTTTGCAGCTTAAATGCAGACCAGAGATATTCAGGGATGCATCAAAGATCACACAGCTTCTTAGTGGTGAGCCAGGTGTAGAACCCAAAGTTTATGGTACCCCATCCTGCACTCCTGTTAGGCACATGAGTGCAGCTGGGACTGGGTGGCAATCAGGTATCTGTGCTGCCAGGATGAAGACACACAGCCTCTCCTGCCTTCTCTGGGGGACCCACGGGCACGGGAGCAATATGACAGGGCTGCCCAAAACCCGCAGCCCATGCCCTCTAGCAAAAGGAGATTCTTTTCCTTTCCTTCCTCATCACCCTGCTCTGCATGCGATTCGGGGGCAAATTAAGTCACTGTCTGAGCCTCAGTTTCCAAATCTACACACTGGGCTTGTTAGAAGGTAAAATGAGACTCATTTCGTGAGCCATCCAGGACATTCCAGCCCTTCTCTGCCTTTCCCCCAGGCCCCTAGAATCTAGGGTCAGGGCTCGCCCCACTGTTCCTCCAGTCAGAAGTGAATTAGGGAGGGTCGGGGTTAGGGTGGAAAGAGCCGAGCCACAGCCTGAGGTCTGGATGACAACTCTGGCCCTGCCCCCGTTCGGGTGTGCAGTCCCAGCCGGCCACCTCTGTACTCCTGGACCCGGTCTCTCCACCTGTGAGAAGGGGTAACCATGACTCTCTCAGGGATCCTGTAAGGATTAAATGGGTGCTGTCCAGCACAGTATTCATGGGCAGTGTCCACAGACAGGAGCGATCACTGTTCTGAAGAGGGTGGGGCCTGGCTGGGCTGAGGAGGGCCCGGGGCGGGTAAGGGGCCTCAAGTCCTCCTGCAGGTCCTTCAGCCTCATTCCCTGGGCAAGCCACACATGCCGCACAGCCCGGGGCTGCATGCTCATCCCCGCCGCCCGGAGGGAAAGGACACCGCGCCCACCCGGCCCGAGCACCTCTCCGCCGCCGGCCCTGCTCCGCTCTGGCTGAGCCCGGGAGCTTCGTCGTCCGTGGCCGAGCTCAGGTTTCGCCGCCGCCGCCGCCGTTCCCGCTCCTGCTCCTCCTCATCCTCCAGAGACCACTGCCGGGCCAGGCTGTGGGCACAGGGTCAGGGCAGCCCAGGAAAGACGGAGCACCATCCCCAGGTGGACTCCAGTGGGGCCGGGCGGGGGGGCGAACACCCTCCTGGCCTGCGCTGTCTGAAGGCACCTATGGCGTGGGCCTGACCCGGGGGCTGCCTGGGCAGATGCAACTGGACTTCCAAGACCTGACTCGAACACAGGCCAAAATATCCCACGAATGATTCTGCACACTGATTATATGTTGAAATGACAGTATTTTGGATACACAGGTGTAAGGGAGATCTATTATGAAAATTTATCTCCTGTTTCTTTCTGCTGCTTTTCATGGTTCACATTTGTGGCAGACATTACATTTCTGCTAAAGCTACTAAAAGGCACTTGGAGGGCACCAGAGTTTCTGGACCTCAGCACCGTTTCTATTTGGGCCACATGCCCGGGACCGTAGTGCCCGGGACTGTGGTGAATTACAGGATATTGAGCAGGACCCCTGACCTCTACCCACTCGATACCACGTTGTGACAATCTGACATGTTTCCTGACATTGCACATGTCCTCTGGGGGGCAAAACCACCCAAGGTGAGAACCATTCGGGGGGGTTTTACTCTGGACCCCCAAGTGGACACATGGGGCCGCCTCTCTGGCACTGACTAGGAACATGGGAAGGTGGGCTCGGTTCAGCCTGAGGAGGTGAGCATGAGAGGGTCTTTCCTCCTTTCGGTCCTGGGATTTCGAGATAATATCCCTCAGTGAACAATCACAGAGAAACTAACTCAGGATTACTCAACAACCCATGGGATTTCTCCACTTCTGGGGGGTGGAGACTCACAAATAAGACCAATTATTCCTGGAAAATATTCCAATATCATCTTCACTTCACTTTTGAGGAGCTCTTTAAGCCTCTTTCCCCTTTTAGAAAACCAGCTCCACGTGTTGGGAAGCAAGGGGT